TGCTTTTTTGCGATTGAGCTCTTCTATCCGACAATAATAATTGTAGACTGCTGTAAATGGGCACGACAAAACACCACAAGCTGAAAAAACTAAATTTTTTTTTTCTTTTTAAATATCGAACAAGCTAAAGAAAAACAAACCAAGAAATTCTGATGAATAATAGGGTTTATCAATTTTGCCCTCTGATTCTTTAGTATTTTTCTTTTAAAATTTTAAGTTCTCATTGCATTAAACCTCGAAATCCCTTTTTATTAGAATGCCGCGTATTTCAAATCTAATGTTAACCATATTACAAATCAATATCATGTGTAATGTTTGTATACACTTTTTTTTTTTGTAAAGTATACATATTATTTTTGGCATAGAAATCTCCGAGTTTGATAAAAGAAATTTATTTCATAGATAATTTGTTGACCAACAATATCAAAACAATGTAAATTATCGAATACTTTTTTGATTGAAACCAAACTGCATATAATGTTTTTTAGATTAACACGAATCTATACATTAATACGAAGATAAATAGACTGTCCCTTCCCTCGTTGAAACAGTCTGGATTATAATGTGTTGAAAAAGTTCCTATCAATTTTTTCTTTTTTTAATTTATAAGAAAAAGATGGGTCACACTGTTTCCAAATTTATTTATTTTCCTGAACTTTGGTCTGAGTATCTGATAGCAACTTAGATATTTTTGACAGCTCAACTAATATTAGCCACAATTGTGATATCCTAAACTATTTTTATTCTAAATAATGTGGGACACAGTATTTTTTAACAAATCAACTATTAGTAAAGAGCATGTCAAGTTGCTTTTTAAAAAATAAAAATAATAATATAGACATATTATCTTTTCCTTTGTTTTGCCCTTCATGTAATTTAATTTTGTTGCAAAGCAGTTTGGACTTTTCTCTAAAAATCCATAGATGTAGTATATCTAGCAAGAAGTGTATAATATTGACCAATATTTTACGAAAGTGGGTAGAGTGAAGTACATGTTGGCTATAAGACAAAAAGAAAACTAGAGGTTACGAGTAATAATAAAAAAAAACCTCCACAATAATCAGATTATCATGCATTTTATTATTTTCATTATAGTATTTACGAAACGTCTATTATTCGTTTTAAAAATAATTTTTTTTAAACTCTATAAGAATAATTACCCCCAATCACTCTAACCCCATCAACCATCGGAAGTCAGAGTCAATCTCCACTAGACCACTACAATTCAAGAATAGTTTTATCAATCAATACACTTTTTTCCTCTGTTGTCGAAGTCTTTAATAATTATAAGAAGATGGCTCTTAAGTATTTAATAAAAATTTAAATCTCAATTAGATTTTTTTTTTTTTTTTAAATCTCAATTAGTTCGACTTCACTTCTACTCCCTCTTTTGAATTATACAGTAGAAACGTTATTAAGAGAGCCTTACATACCCTTCTAAAGCCGATTTGAGTTAGACAGCTTTGTAACCATGTAGACCATTTTTAGTTGGTACGGTTAATCAGATTGATAATATTTCTTGCTAAAATTAATATATTGAATTTGTACCTAGAACCTTTTCCGTTATTTCTATCATCTCATTTAAGAAGCTAAAGCAAAAAAGTCGAGTGGAATTGACGCAAAGTCACGAACACATCATAAATAGAAAAGAAAATATGATCACATACCAAAAAAAAAAGAGTGACATGAAATTGGAAGAAAAAAAGGCAAATTTGAAAAAGTTAAGTCCACTTAGAAAGTGAAATAAAAAGAAAACTTTAGATGAGTAGACTTCCACACGAGTGGCTTCTCCTACGAATATGACTCGTGTAAAGTAGTAAACCATCCACTTCGCCTTTAGTTACGACCGGAAACTCCACTGTGTAAATTTAAAACGAGAAAATAAGTTTTTTTGGAGAATTTTGGACATAATTTAAGTAGTTTCTTCAAACGAAATTTTGATACAATTTGAAAGGATTAGATTAGAGGTGTCAAAGCACGACAACTTGTAAGGAAAATGGTATTTTCTCAGTTATATGGTCTTATATATAGCTCATATATTTTTCTAATGAAAGTGTTATTCTTTAATAACATTTCGTAACTAATTATTATGAAATTTTAATTTCTTAATTAAGAAAAACATTAAAGAGATAAATATAAAGTATTAGAGACATATGGCAACACTAATAACTAATTCATGATATGTATTTAGAGTCATACTTAACACTTGTCTTACATGTTTTAATCTCTAACAAGNGTAAAGTATAANAGACAAATGNGTNACATTCATGGCTAATTCCNTGACATGTATTAGANNCATNCTTAACNNTTGTCATACAAGTTTTAATCTCTAACCATGATGGATGGTTGAGATCAAAGCCCTAATGAGGAACTAGGTTCTCTCTCCTCCTATAAATACTTACCTTTAGCCCATCATAAAAGTGTGATCAAAGTGAGAACAAAATTACACAACACATAAGAAATAAGTTTGTAGGAAAGGAGAGAGAAAAGTTAAGTCCTAATCAAAGATCAAGACTTCATCTTCTAATCAAATCAACCATATAAGGAATACTTCCTCATCATGATGAATGGAGGTACTCCTTTAACTCTCNTAATTCTATTANGTAATTAATTTAGATGCTTAAAAATCTTAGGNTTCATGTAGATTTATTTANATNCATGTANTTAAATATTACATGCATGTTGATTTTATTTAACACAACTTGTTCCGTTCGACCTATCTCACGATGGATCATTAGACCACTCGATGACATACCAAAAACTCAAGCCAGTCCACGAGTGACATATCATGCTAATTTAGTTTGATTAGTGATTGGTAATTAATTTTGTTTTTTAAAGTTTTACCATTAACCATCAATTANATAGCAGCCATCATTCGTAAAGTGAATTTAATTTATTCTACAACTATGACAATATATATGAATTTAATTTATAGAACGAAGACTAATAATGTATTTAGCAGTTGTATTTTTTTATATATAATTAATTACAAAAGTGTGTTGTTTTTCCGAAAGATAAAGGCAGACAGAAAGTGTGNTGCTGATATGAAAACTATTGAGAAAAAATGAAAAGGGCAAAAGAGAGCACCATACTTTCTTTCTTTCTTTTTGTTGGAGGAAGAATAAAAGTGCAAAGAAACTAAAGCNCATTTTCACATTCCCATTGAGCAGTGGAAATTTAATACAAANCTAGAATTGTAAGATAGTTTCTATAGAATAAAGAAATGAAAAAGTGAAAATTCAAGTATCTGCATTTTCGGTTAATGAAATTATGTTGATTAACATGGGAATCTAGACCATGTAGATAGGAACTATTTAATCTTGGTATTCAGAAGTTGATTGTGATGTAGAGATTCTGCTTCTTATCAAAACATTTGTTAAAGATTTCAACTCAAATTTACTACTCATATACAAACAAAAATTACTGGTAACTTTCTATGAGCTTTTCTCATGTGGCGAAACTCATTCTCAAATTTCAATCTGCATGATCTTGTTACAACATCTTTGTTTTGAGAAAGATTGTTACAACATCTTTTTTTTTATTAAGAAAAATACAACAACTCAAGCAATATCACATATCACAAGGTTTCAAAACCAAATTTGGATTTTTTTTTCTCTCAAAAAGACTAAAATTTAGGGAGGAATAAACAAAATTTTAATATATTTAAATGGACCGGGACACGAAATTTTAGGATCGGATTTAGATCAAAAACGACACTTTTTTACACTAAAGTAATCATAAATTCAGAACAAATGAAGAAGAATCAACGGAGAAAATTACTATATTATGTCGCCAATTTTGGGGATTCATTTGTGTATCTAGACGATACAACCAGTTACTGCATCTAAATCCAGTATATGGATACTGCATCCAAATTCAGTATCCACTCATATAACATTTAAATTATACATAGAGAATCTTGTTAGTCACTATTTAAAGATTTTGCATTTAGATTCTTCATCCGGCTGATGTTGTTCGTCGCTATTTTTGGTCTTCCATTTTACATATCGCATGATGCATTTAATAACAAAGACTTCAAAATCGCCAATTTTTATAATCACACTAATTAAACCCTAGATCAGTCATTAACAACATATTTATATATTATAATAATGTTCAAGTTGCTGCTTATTTATAAAAAGGTTATAGCTTTCGCCTTATTCAAAATTCCTCACCACATCGGAGTAAGGATCATCATCACTCTGCCGATTTCCCTGAGAACACATACAGATCTGTAAAAAAAAAAAACCAAAAACAAAAATTTAGTACAAAAATAGAAACAAACACATAAAAAAAAAGCAAAATCCAGTATCAAATCATCTCGCATTTACCTCATAATCATTCCTCCTCTTTGGCCTTGAGTTCCTCATACTTGTTCTTCGTAAACACCCTTAGCTCTTGGACTTCTCTTTCCATCTGAATGATTGAGTAACCCAGAACCGGAAATGTCGATAACAGCAACAGATTCCACACACCGATCTTCTCCATCGAACGCTTCACGAGTTCTCCAATCGCACTCGCCATGATCTCGAACTGTGACTGGAAAAACAAGGAAAAGCAAATAAACCCCCAAATCTAAAACCCTAAATCTGATAACTGTGTGTATATAATAAAGTAGCGAAAGAGAAGAAGAGATCAAGTTTTAATTAAAGCCCATTATGACGAGGCTTAAGGCCCATTAGCGGTCGTTTTTTTACACGCGGTATGGGGGGGGGGACCCATAGTATCTTATTTTGACCAATCTCGATTAAACAAAAACCATCCTCTTTGATTTTAATCGATAAGATCCGTAATGCCACGTCAGCTTCAACCGAATCCATCAAAGTCATCGTGTCCGTCAAATCTGTCACGTCATTAAATCGCACGGTTTATAGTAGATCTCCATACAAAAGTCACCATTGTATCTCTTCTTACTCAGCTTTCAAGTGTATTCTCTCTCAAGAACAGGGTTTTCGGGTCGGATCCAGTCAAGTAGACAATGGCGACGGTCACAACGCAAGCCCCTGCCGCGGTTTTCCGACCATGTGCATCGAGGACGAGGTTCCTTACTGGTTCTTACGGTCGATTGAACCGGAATTTATCGGTTAAACCGATCGTCTCGTCCACCAATACGGCGTCGTTCAAAATCGAAGCCAAGAAAGGAGAGTGGTTGCCCGGTTTAGCATCGCCGGGTTACCTCACCGGCAGGTAATAATATATATATACTCATAGTCTCATACACATGTACATTACATAACTATACGAAAAATAAATGTATTCCACAAATATTAGACCAACCAAAATCTTGCATTTTAACGTAGCGACTATAATGACATGATCAAGAATACCATAGTTTCTATCCGTTTTGTTAGACATTATACGAAATTAGACCAAGTTGAAGCGGATTCCGGTTAAGTTGATTATAAATTGTATGGTTTGGTTTTGGAACAGTCTTGCTGGTGACAATGGTTTTGATCCTCTGGCTCTAGCAGAGGATCCTGAGAACTTGAAATGGTTCGTTCAGGCAGAGCTTGTTAATGGCCGGTGGGCTATGCTCGGTGTTGCCGGAATGCTTTTGCCGGAAGTCTTCACCAAGATTGGTAAGAATTAATATNCCACAAAATTTGTTTTTAGAGCATTTCAATTTCAAAGAACTTATAACAAGGTGATTAATGTGATAGGGATCATAAATGCTCCAGAATGGTATGATGCCGGAAAAGAGCAATACTTTGCGTCGTCATCGACATTGTTCGTTATCGAGTTCATACTTTTCCATTACGTTGAGATCAGAAGGTGGCAAGACATCAAGAATCCAGGAAGTGTGAATCAAGATCCAATCTTTAAGCAATATAGCTTACCTCCCAATGAAGTCGGTTATCCTGGNGGAATCTTTAACCNGCTTAACTTCACTCCAACNCTCGAGGCTAAGGAGAANGAGCTCGCNAACGGTAATTAAAGATTAATCANTAGTACATTACANTACAAATCTTTTAACTTCTTAAGCAAGAAACCTAATTAGAAAAGTTTGGCTTTTTTGCAGGGAGGTTGGCGATGCTTGCGTTTTTAGGGTTTGTGGTTCAACACAATGTGACTGGAAAAGGACCATTTGAGAACTTGTTGCAGCATTTGTCTGATCCATGGCACAACACTATTGTCCAAACCTTGAATTAGGTACTAAAACTTCTAAGAAGAGGGTTTATGAATGTTATGTCTACATTTCTTAGTGTCATGAGTAAAAGGATTAAATCAAACCAAATCAAGAGGGTGTTCTTTCATGTTGTAATGACTTTATATACGAAATTAGAAAATGATGATCATCATAAGCAAACAGAATGAGAAGCTGAAATTACATTTTGGATGAAATAATGTGAAAGCCTAATCAAATTAAATCTCACCATCCCAAAGTTGTTGGATGGATTTGTAAGGGCTAGTGGTTTGATTAACAAGGAAATCTCCTCTCATGATCTTCCATTCCTCTAATTGGTCAATGAATGACAAGTCTTGATCATCCAATTTAACCTCCAAGGCTCTCTTGTTCTCACTCATTCTTTCTCCATTGAAACTCTTCACTATCACGCTTGCCCCTTTCGACATTCCCCACCTTAGAGCCACCTTCATTTATAGATGATATAAATCATTGTATTGGTTAGGAATTGGTTATAATCAAAGTAATTAAGTCCCTTAATTAGAAAAAGATGAAAGAACCTAATTCTGAGGTTACCTGAGCAGGAGTGGCATTATGCTTGAGAGCAATGGATTTGATGACAGGATGTTCAATCACAGCCGTTGATCCCCAACAATTCCCTGGTCCACCAAGTGGTGAATATCCACTTACATGGATATTGTTCTCTTCACAAACTTTCCTTAGCTTGCTTTGTCTCCACAATGGATGCATCTCCACCTATTTTATATTCAAACCATTAGTTTCTCAAAATCTCTCCGACAATAAACCTTGTTACTAGTATAATGTTGAATACAAACCTGGTTAACCGAAGGGGAGACAGAAGCACAATCGAGGAGATCGAAGATCTTTTTAGAAGAGAAGTTGCTAACACCAATAGATCTACACAAACCCATTTCCAAGCATCTCTCCATGCCTTGCCAAGTTTCTTCAATCCCCAAATCTTTCTCAAACTCATCTTCTTTAGGGACAGGGTCACTCACTCCTGGCTTTAGCTTTATTGGCCAATGCACCAAGTAACCATCTAGATACTCTAGTCCCATTGTCCTAAAAGTCATAAACAATTTGATCATGAGATTGATCTCTAGGTCTTCATATCGTATAGGTGAGTGTTTGTGCATTTGTAGAGAGAAGCTTACTTGAGGGTTTGTCTTAGGGCAGTGACAGGATCATGGTGATCACTAGACCATAACTTTGAAGTGATATAGAAATCTTCTCTTTGAACAGTTCCATAGGAGATAGCTTGTCCCAATGCAGTTCCTAGAGCTTCTTCTGATCCATATATTTTTGCTGTGTCAAAATGTCTATACCCTATCTGCCTCCATTCCAATAAGTAAAATCTTGTGAGATGTCGAAAGTTTCAAGATTGATTTGATCAACGTGTGTATATTCTCTTATTTCTAAGTAGAAAGATCTTATATATTTTTTTACAATCGTAAAGAATTTGTGTACGGAATTGTGTTTCTTACAGATAAACGTAATTATCCAAAACTTTTATACGAGTATAATTTTCCAAACGAAATAAACAAAAATATACAATGTACTTAATTAACTTCTATAAATGTTAAATCACATTTGGTGGTCAAGTGACTATTCTCTACTCTGCATGCACTTTATGACTTTCATAAAAAAAAACACTAGTGTATATTATAAGATCATTTGATAAAGTTTTTGATACAATTAAAGTAAATACATGAAACTGTTTAATAAGAATAGAGAAAAATGAACCTTGATGGCTTGATGGACGGCTGAGATGGTGCTCTCTTGATCTTTTTGAGGACAATAAGTTCCCATTCCAAGCAATGGAATCGTCTTCCCAGACCTGAGACGTGCCACGTCACTCCTCATTTCTCTCTCTATATTACTATGCTCTTTTCTTCTCTCTATCTCTCTCCAATCTCAATGTGTTTTCTTCTCTCTGTTGAGTCTATGATATGTTTATATAGGCCGCTAAAAGGTCAACGAGCGTGACTTTTATTCGTTTCTTTCTAAAACAATTTCCCTTATGACATCAATTATTATACTATGCAGAAATATATGACCGATATATGGAATATTATGATAATTTAATGTTTTGAATTTTCAAATACAATAAGGACTTGGAACTATATGGAGGTANNGAAGCACGAGAGTTTNCCATGTCTTCTGGGATTTTCTTAGCCTACCCAAATCCTAATNTCTCAAACCTCAAGATGATATCTTCTCTCCTCAATAAATTTTGCTCATTAGTGTATTGAGTGTTTCCAAAATATGGTTGTTCTTACATTTTTATTTTGCAACTTGATTCCATTGGAAATTTTACAAGCTAATTACCTGTCAACTGTTTAATATTTTATTAATTACTAATCTGAATTTTAATTAGAGCTAGTAATGGTCTAACGACAACTAATAGTTACACAAAACTTTACTTTATAGTGTCACAACTTTCTCCCAAACAAATATTACTCCAATTGTTTCACAAAAGATATCATAGAACATGCATGATGTTTTATTTTATTTTCTTATAACTGAAAATATGAAACTGACCACATTAATTATAAACTACTATCAGGAACATGTGAAATATCTGATTATCATTAAAACTTAAGACGTTCACAATAATAACTAAAAAAAGTTCGAACTTTAACATATACCTACGGAAGGAATCATCTATCACGAATCAAAATGGATTAGTTTAGTTATATATGTTTTATCTTTCTTTTTCAAATATTGTTTTTCCAATTGTTGTGACGAAACATTGTTATTATAGTACTAATGATAAAAAATTTAAAAACAAAAAAAGATAAGATATACTACAAATATATAGAATCAGCAGGAACAGCTTATTGATTTTTATATATTTTGTACTATGAATAGAAAAACTATTAGAACCACATCCACATTCGAAGAGGCGTTTCTTAGAGGAAAAAAAGGTATTAGTTTCAATGATAATATAATATGTAAGGGCGGTTTGACATACGATTGCTTGCCAATGATTCGATTTTTTTTATAAAATAGGCTAAAGAGAGTGGAAGTCAAATCGAAGGCATGCAATCGACCGTTGGCTTACTAACCAAATTACATATGAATTAAGGCGTTGACAATTAAATAAATTGTCTAATCTCTCATCAATGGATAAAATCTAGATATTATTCATTTTTCAATGCAATATTGGTGGTTCATGTAGTATTTTACAACAGAAGACAGTCATGTTCCTGCTTTTCTAGTGCACCGCCAAAAGATTTCACAAATCTTTTTCCATGTGGTTTATTGTTTTCTTAGTCACTGGGAATTTGCAGTCTTATTAGTATAAATTTTTGCTTTAAACTAGAATTAAATGTCAAGTACCGCTTAATTTGCCAATTTAATTTAATCAGTTTTTTCATCAACATTTTGACCTCTCATCAAATCTATATTATTAATTCGATACCCAAATTGTTTCTCTGCTTTTTAAGTTTCTTTATACATTTCTTCTCCTACCAATGTGATAATGTCGTCACCCTTTTCGCGACTCCTGCTATATGCTGAATAATTTTCTTAATAAATAAATTAGATCAGATGTATCTTTCTGTTGGTTACAACATAAATATCAGTACTAGAAAATGCATTGTAATAGTCTGAATTCTGAAAATTTGATATAAAAAACAGGTAAAGATTGAATTAAACCATGAATTAAAACTAGTTTATGATTTCTCGTTAGTCTTTAAGCATCACGATGTGATAGTTATATAAAATAAATAAAAAAGCTAGTCTTTGATTCCTCCCAATAGGTTGAGTATAGTATCCAGCCATCTTGTCCAGAAATTTTTTCTAGAGTCTAAGAGATAATGCCGAGGGCTCCTCTACCTGGTCTCAGTTGCTGAAA